ACGCTTAGTACGCTTAGTACGTCTGTAGACTGGTACACTTTGCATGCATCTCTTTATTTTGCGCTTGTGTTTTTAAGATATTTAAGATACTGTACATATGTGAATGTCTTTGTAAGGACTGTACTGTAAGTAGAACTCTGTTTGTTTTGTTGCATTATGAGCTGTGATCCTGATGGTTATGGACTGACGTTATAGTAAATATGATATCATGATATTCATGCAGATACGGGCTCCATCCACACACGTGTAATCATCACTGTTCGTGTGAACGTCCACACATGTGACTGGAAGCGTCTCTGTAGCGTTTGTTGGGTAACCTGTACGATGCGCTGTCTCAGGGGAGTCTTTATTCTGACCTTTCTTTGAATCAATAAATCATGAAAATGAATGAAAACACAAATTGTTATTCCGTCATAAACCAGAGCATTTCAGGACAAGTTACAGTTTGCAGTTTGTTTCAATAAACAGTATTTTAAGAGTCCATGATCACGCGGTAATTAAGCATCAGCACACCGGTAGTTAATGATTAACTGAACATATACTAAAGGCAGGTCAGCACTAGTTCTGCGGTAGTTAAGCACGAACACACCAGTAATTAACAATTAACTGAACATACATACAAGGGCATATTTGCATTATTACAACTTATTAAACATTTTGAGAATAAGCAAAAATAATCCAGTAATTAACTGAATGTACAGTAGATGTAGTAAAAGTTAGATACAGTTACAGTTTAGATATTCAGTAAAATAGGGAACACGTTCAGTATATATTAAGAATTTTTCCTCAGTAAACTCCTAATTACTGCTTATTAATAGTTAGTAAGGTAGCTGTTAAGTTTAGGATTAAGAGATCATGCAGAATAAGGCATTAATATGTGCTTTATAAGTACTGATAAACAGTCAATGTGCTAGTAATATGCATGCTGATAAACTACTAGTTAATAGTGAGAACTGATCCTTAAAATAAAGTGTTGCCACCAGATATTCTGTACTATCAGTAACTTTTGCAACTACATGTTAACTAGCTCTCAATAGAGTATTAGTAGACTTAGTTTAGGGTTAGGGTTGGCAGAATAAGTTGCCTTTTAGCCATTATTTGCAAGGTAAATGTCTTAATGTGTGTGTGGTAAGTGATTTACATAATGTTATAGTTCTGTGATTTACCGTCTATAAAGTGAACCAAACAGCAGGAATAATTATGTTAAATTAGTGCTGGTTTTACAGTTTTGAGTAACACATTACGGTGAAACTTTATTTTAAGGTGTCCTTGTTACACACGTTACATGTACTTACTATTATAATAACAATTAATTATGCATAATTACATGCAAGTAACCCTAATCCTGACCCTAACCATATAGTAAGTACGTGTAGTTAATTAATATTACTCAGCACTTAAATGTATAATTACACTGTAACAAGGACACCTTAAAATAAAGTGTAAACTAAATGACTAAACTTGTGTAATAAAGACCCCTGTTCTGAAGTGAAAAGTATATCCACATGAATTATTGATTTGTATGGCACTTATTGAGTGATGCTCAAGTTTATTCACCAGAAAAAGCCAGTAATACAGCACTACTAAAGACTCATGCTTAACTACTGCATAACTAATGCTAATGTGCCTTTACTATTGGTTCAGTTAGTCATTAACACCAGTGTAACGCTGCACTACTGCATGACTGTGGAGCATTCAAATAAAGAGCTACCACAGTAAGTCTTGAATCTAAAAAGAATAATTCAGCTCTCATATGACTCATGTTTAATATGTTCTTGGGAATCATCCACACAAACACAAAATAAATTTTTGTTGCACAAATAATTTAATAAATAGTTAATAAATAATACATTGCAGGTAATAAATAATTTCTCAACACAAAATAAATAGACTGAGTGATTGACATAAATATACACCGTGGAGGCCACACTAGCTTATGCGTGACTGACAGGCGTGCAGTCGTGTGAAGAGGAAGCGGCGCTGTGGTGAGTGACATCATTTCCTGTGCTCTCCGGAGCCGATGTACCCCAGCGCCCGGTTCACGGTGATGGCCCGGATGTGGAAGCCCTTCAGCGTCTTGCACAGGGACAGACGGTCATCGAAGGACGATCCGCTCCAGACGCGCCACTGCACACACATCAGAGAACATGAGCGGACGCGTGATGAAGGAGTGTGTGTCTGCAGAGAGAGAGAGAGAGAGACACTCACCTGAGGAAACTCTCCATCCGCAGCCTCGCAGTTCTCATTCAAACACTGCAAACCAAACAGAGGACCATTAAAACCAATAGAGTTTTCAACACACACACACACACACACACACACTCACACACACACACACACACACACACACACACATCATTTTACTCGTCAAGGCATTTGTTTGCACACTAAACTGAGTGCTGCATGTTTGGAATGGAATAGCATCTTACTAAGTGAGCACTGCACAGTGTACACTGTGTTCCTTAACCCTCGTATTATGTTGAGTTAGAAACACTGGTTAACCTAGGATATGTTTTTTCTACATTTTGTGACAGGTTCTCATTCATGCCTGCAATGTTTGGACTTATGGAAAGTTGTGAAATGTGCATATGTGCATGCAAAATTTTTATTTATGATTATGATGTTCACGGGTGAATTTGACCTACAGTTTCATGGTTAACGGCAGCTGTACAGGCCTAAAATAAATACATTTTTGATGTTTTTTGTTATGTCAGGTTCTCAGCTACCGACTGAGGGTGTTTATATCTGCATTTACGCATTTGGCAGACACTTTTATCCAAAGAAATATGCAATGCATTGAAGATGTACATTTTTATCAGTTTAAGCATTTCACTAGGAATCAAACCCATGATCTTGGTGTTGTTAGCGGCATGGGGAAAAAATGAAGAAATGTTAAAAATGTAAAAAAAAAACAAAAAAAAAATACAATTACAATACTATTTGCAATAATATATATATATATATATATATATATATATAT